AAGAGTTTTTTTTTGACCAAAATGATCTTAACTAAAAAGAGTGGCCCAATGAAACCCAATTTTCTTTTTCTTTTTTCAATATTATTCCCCCCTCTGCCTTTTCTCATTGTCTTCACCGTTTGAGAGTCACCATCTTCTCTTATTTTTGTACATGTAATCATCTCTCTCTCTCTCTCTTACAAAAGCTGAGCTATTGTTCAAGTGTTTTTTTTCTTTCTTTTTTATGCATTGACTTCTAAGGCCAAGTTCAGATTAAGATTGAGAACTAGGTTTATGAAAAACTAACGAGATTGAGATATCATGATTCGAACTTTATATTAACAAAAGGCTCGTGATTGAGATGTCATAATTCAGATTAAGAACCAACTTGCTTTATATATGTTAAATATCAATAGGGATTTATTTAATATTTGGTTGTATGTGCAATATAAACAAGATATCTTAACCACTATAGTTGGTAATGTGCAAGGAACCATCCAGTCTATATAATGCCAAATAGTTGATGGTTGCAACTTAGAAATCATTTGGTGCGCGCGCGCGTGTGTGTGTGTGTGTGTGTGTGTGTGGATCATTTGATATTGGGCAGACTAGATGATTTTTTATAGACTTAGAAACCATTCGACATTACCTAGGCCGAATGATTGAATACAATTTTGATTCATCAATTACCCAGGTGATAAAATAATATATACACCCTTAAATTCATCTAAAACCCAATAGGCCACAATGTTGTATATGATTCTCACAAGTGTACACCCATCCAATATAGTGGAGACCACATGTTGTTTTATAGACTTAGAAACCATCCGACATTAAACAGACCGGATGGTTTCTTGTAATTTTAAATTATCAATTATTGTTGCAACATCTATCATCCATGTGATCTAGTAGTATTTGTACCATCAAATGCATCTAGAACCCAATAGTTCTATTTCTTTCCCACAATAAAGAGATGGGCACAAATTATGCCTATGGTGACACCTAGTTTAAGGTCCGCAAAAAAAAAAAAAAAAAAGAAACATTAAGAAATAGGTCGTCTTCTCCAATTATGGTGCCAAATTCAATAAAATCAAACTCATCCCTTGGTGGAACTTTGAAACAATTAACCCTATTAATAACCAGTCCACTATCATTGCCATATAATCTTCCAACTATACCAAAACAGTTGCACAACATATCCCTCATTAGGCTTAAAGAGAAAAGAAGGCATTGGAAATCATCATGGGTAGAGTGGTTTGTTTTTTCATAAATTTTCATGTTTTTGTCATTCTTAATTTTTATTATTTAATCATGACATCAAGGGTTAACACATTTGGTTCAAAAGGTTGAATTATTGATTCACTACAAAATAGGAAAATAATTCAATTTTTTATTTCAGTTTTAAATAGTGTATTTTATTTCCATCATCAATAAAGATAATTTCTCTTTGTCATACTTATTTTTCTTTTAATACGATTAATATAAAATATCAAAGATGCACCCAAATGTCTTCTATGAAATGTATGCTTTTTTGAATTTTTTGTGTTTTACCTTTTTAATTATTATTATTTAATTATGACATTAAGGTTGACATGTTTAACATGAAAGTTTGAATTGCTCACCTACCACCAAATAGGAAAATAATTTAGCTTTTGAATAGGTTTTAGATTTTTTAATTTATTTCCATCGTTAATAAAAATGATCTTTATCACACTCATTTTTCTTTAGAGATTCACCTTAATGTTTTCTACAATATTTTTACATATTTCATAATTTTGTTCTATTTTTTATCTTTTACTAATTTTTATTATTCAATTATGATATCAAGGGTTGACACATTTAACCTAAAAGGTTGAACTATTGATCCCTCACCAAATAGGAAAACAATTTCATTTTTTGGGTTAGTTTCAAAATTTGTATTTCAGTTTCAACGTCAATAGAAAACAATTATTATTTATTATACTTATTTTCTTATATATAAGTCTTGAGAAGGAATTGAATGAGATGAAAAGTAATGCTTAAATTACATTTTAAAATAAATTGTAGAAAATTTTGGACACTATTATTTATATCATCATTATCATCTAAAATTGTCACGTGCAAAGTACATACATATTTGCTAGTGAAGAATAAAAACTAAAAAACTAGATCAAATGAGGTAAGATATGCATATGCACATGCATTCACATCCCATCTAGTTATTAAATGAATACAACTTCTAAAATTGTTTGAAAACTATTCCGTTCATATAATCGGATTGGGTCTTGAACTTTGGGACTCCATTGACAGCCCTATTACGATGAGACCTGCTTACACCCTTATATGGGGTGCTTGTGTTTCTATACAACACAGCAATTGGGGTGTTTTGGTAGATGGTAGATGAGGAATCCTTCAAATGAATATAGCATTTGGTTCCAGTTCAATTTTATCTGCACTAGTAAAAATGCATGGGAGTGCTAATGAAAATAATGCAAATTTTGATTTAATTTTGTTTTGATTTTTACTTTATTCTGTTTCAGAGGTCTTATTTTAATCAAACAAAATGAGGTAAAATTGAAACAAAAATAAATCAAAATTTGCACTACTATAATATTGCATTTATTTGCATTGCAACCAATTCGCCCAATGACACAAAAAAGGATGAAAATGATGCATGCATGCATGTCAATTTAGGGGTGTCAATTGGACTGGATTTGGTCCAATCCGATCCAGTCCAATGTGGGTCCATTATAAATAGACCAGGTCCAATCTAATCTAGTGAATGTTTTTGACCAGTTTGGACCAGTCCAATTCAATGTCTATACCGTCCAATTTGTTCAAATTCATTTTGATTTAGATTGGTTTCAATCCAAACCCATGCATTGACACATATATTTTCATCTTATATAAATGGACAAGATATTTGCTTAATTCAACCCAATCTAATATAAATTTGTTACGAATGGAACAGGTCCATTCTAATCTAATAAATATTTTGGATCAGATTGGTCCAATCCAATATGTCTTGATGGTCCGTCCAATCCATCCAAATTGATTTTGGACTGGACGGGACGGGACTGGATCCAATCCAAAACCGGTCCATTGACACCCTTACATGTCAGTGTGATAGTAGCAATATAACATGTCAGTGTGATAGTAGCAATATAACATCCATCTATCCCTACACCTACACAATTTTCTTTTCTTTTATTTCTAGCTTTAACGTACACTATATTCTATTCTTTACCTTAGTCTTACTTTTGCATCAGCAAGTTCTTGATTTTTTTGTACTGTTCATTCCTTTAGCTGTGCATGGATGCTCCTAGCTTTATAATTTACTAAATAATCTTCGCTTTATTTAGAACACTATGGTCGTTTCTTTTTCTCGGGCTTCTCTCTTTCTCTTTGGGTCTCTCCCCTTGTTTGTTTTGTAAAATCAAGATAGAAGCATGCAGAAGAGAGAGATGTCTATCTCAGCTAATAATAAGAAAAACCCATTGATAGTTTCGTTTGGAGAGATGCTGATCGATTTTGTTCCAGACACCGCCGGAGTTTCTCTGGCTGAATCGTCTGGCTTCCTCAAAGCTCCTGGTGGAGCTCCTGCTAACGTGGCCTGTGCCATTGCCAAGCTTGGTGGTAATTCAGCTTTCATTGGGAAGGTAGATCTTTTCCTCTAATTCTCCTCCTCTGGACTATATTCTTCATTATCATCAAGATGAAAACTGGAAGACATCAAAATGGTAGCTTCTGAAGTTCTGATGACTGTGTGCTAGCTCTAGCTCCTCTTAAAAACGGGAAACCTAATTAAAACATAAATTAAGAGCAGAGCTGTGTCAATCGGTCGTGTCTACTTGATAGAACCGGTTCTTTTTGTTCCAAACTGATTATATACTTTTTCCTTTTTGATAAGTGAACTGATCATTACATACTTAATAATATATAAAGCTCTCTTGGTTTCTTGTAATTTTTGTTATGTGTTATAGCTAAAAGGGTAAATTTTATAGATGGTATATAAGGAAGGGAAAGGTAAGAAAACCTATCTATATGGGTAATTTTGGTTAGAAATACAGCCAAAGATGATTTTGGTTAAAACTAATTGGGTCAGACCATATTATCCCGATTAATAATCGATTCGGTTCTGGGTCTATGTATTCTGTAGAACCAAACCAATTAATAATCAATTGGGACTGGCTGGTCCACCCTGTTATGAATTAGACCCGATTCATTGACAGTTCTAAGGCTGTGTTTGGAAATGATGCAAATAAGTGTGATTGTAAATATATAGTGTAAAACAGTTCATATAAATTATAAAATCGGGTTAGTTTTGCACTGACAAATTTATCTTCTTACTAACAGACTTTTAGCTGTAATGAATGCAAATATGAATTTCAATAAAGCATATGCTTTTTTTTTTTTATTAAGAGCCCACTTGAATGTAAATTTACTTCTTTTTTAATGATGTACTTTTACATCTTGTATCAATGTAAATATGCATTGATCTATCATTTGTCAATGCATAAATGTAACGTTGCCTAATACAGGCAAAAGTGAACCAAAATGCAAATTTACCCTGAACTGGGATTTACACTCCATTTGCATCGTTTCCAAACACAGCCTAATTAATTAAGGGTGGGATCCGGATTAATGCTTAAAACATGAATCTTAAAGGATGGATGCTAACTTATTATATATATGATTAATGTATGGTTTTATAGTTTGGAGACGATGAATTTGGGCATATGCTGGTTGATATGTTGAAGAAGAATGGAGTGAACGCAGAGGGGGTGTGCTTGGATGCCGATGCAAGGACAGCGCTTGCATTTGTGACGTTGAAGAAGAATGGAGAGAGGGAATTCATGTTCTATAGGAACCCAAGTGCTGATATGCTGCTGAAGGTATCAGAGCTTAATTTGGGTCTCATCAAGCAGGCCAAGATATTTCACTATGGCTCTATAAGCTTGATCTCAGAGCCATGCCGCTCTGCTCACTTTGCGGCCACGGACGCCGCTAAAAGGGCTGGCGCTTTGCTTTCCTACGACCCCAATTTGCGGTTGCCGCTCTGGCCTTCAGCTGAGGCTGCTAGACAAGGGATTATGAGCATTTGGAATGAAGCTGATTTTATCAAGGTTACTACTTACTACTGCTCTTTTCTTCTTAATTAACCTTAACCTAGTTGTTGTTGTTGTATGGGATAAAATCATGAATAGTACTCCGAATGGGTTTGAGACAAAATCATGTATAGTGGGCTGCAAAACCTATTATAAGTGAACATGTCCGTTTAAGCTGTCTTCACTATAGTGGATCGAGCTGGGTTAGAATGCAAGCCATGGGCTGTAGTGGCATGGCCCAAATATTTTGTGTCGTGCCGTACCAGTCCATGGGTCGGGCCGGTTAGAATGCATGGCTCAGGGATTCGAGCTGGGCTTGGCATGGCTCGCTTGCTATAGTACACCATGCCAGTCCGCGAGCAGCCCATCCCACTTTACAACTACAGAGCACTAGAATGTTCACTAGTGATAGGTTGGCTAGCTCGTTATGCATGATTTTTCCTCCAGCCCATCTAATCCCATCTATTATTAATTTGTTAGGGGTTGATTGGTTAACGAATTTTGTGTACCAGGTTGGCTATGGTAACTTTAACTTTAGTGGCTAGGCCTGGCCTCAATGCCTCATGGCGAGTCCGGATTTGCTCCACACAAAGTGCCTCTCACAGCGTGTCCTGGTTGGAAACATTTCCGGTACTTGTATTTATTATTCATGGGAAGATGTTCTCAATACAGGATGAGATGTAGCTATAAAGTTGATGTGAGGCACACTCTGTGACCTGATAAAAAAGTTGGCCAAATTTGTCCAAGTGTTTTAAAATTCAATCTGGAGCTTGAACAATTTACCACTCTGGGTTCATGATTCAAACTAGTCAATAGTTATGATCAATAGATCAACCTTTTATATCATCAATATAAAAATATTAAAACAAAGGGGTAAAAGAATTAAGCCTCTTTTAACATTTCACATAAATACTGAAATGTCCCCTCGTTTTCTCACATTGAAATATGACCTCCTCCTGTTGGGTCAGCTGAATGGGTCAGATAGTCAACATTTAAATCACCTAAGTTGATGGGTCATTCATTCACTTGAGTCAACTGGTTTTATAACATAACGGATTGGAAGTCGAACTAAACTGGAATTATGCTAGCCACTGGTCCAACCGTCCAGGTCAATGATTTAGTTGAAAACACTGAATATGTCCCGAAAGATCTAGAGAATCGTTTCTAAGGCTGTGTTTGGATATAGTGCAAATTTATTTACATTAATATAAATGTATAGAAGTGTAAATGTAAAAAATGCAAATTATTGTTTAATTTTGTTTTGGATTTTACTTTATTCTGCTTTATGTCTTATTTTACTTTATTTGTACTGCAATCAAACAAAATAAGCTAAAATTTAAAACAAAAATAAGTCAGAATTTACACTCAAATCATTTGCACTGCCATGGTTTTGCATCAATGCAAATTTATTTGCATTACAACCAAACACAGCCTAACACTTTGATTGTTTGCAGTGCAAATTTGAACCACACCCGGTCCCGTTTTGCATATCTGCTTGTTTGTAACTATGACTTGTGCTCCTACCTTACAAAATCAATACCTTTTGTCTCATTTGTATTTATTGGAAGTGCAAATTTTGCATCCAAAAGACTGATGCAAAATTTGCACCACCTATCTTGCACCTCACTTCTTTGTCATATAAAGTGGGGACCACATCTCTTGCTTCCTATGCCACTCTCAAATAAATGATTCTCCTTTTACCTCCACTGATTCTTTCATATAATTAGAGATCATTTTATTTCTTGTTTTACTTCTACAAACAACTAAGACAGTCAAATCTAAAGCAAAAAAACAAACCAAATTATGCATTCAACATATTAATTTGTACTCATGCATTTACACTGGTGCCAATGAAACACTGCAAACAAACCTAACTAGCCTTATCTGTCTATTTGGCTCTTATAGTCTCAATTTAAGACTTCTGCATAGAGAATTGGTAACTCCAATGCTAGCTTCAACCGGGAAAAGCTTCCAGTTTTACATCAGAACTACTAAGGTTTTAATTCATTTTTTGGGTTAAATTTGCAGGTTAGCGATGATGAGGTGGCATTCTTAACTCAGGGAGATCCCATGGATGAAGATGTTGTTTTGTCACTTTGGTATGAAAGACTCAAGTTACTTGTTGTGACAGATGGAGAAAAGGGTTGTAGATACTTCACCAAGGTTTTTATTTTTAATTTTTTTCCCTTATGCTGTGCTTTTTTGCTTGTAAACTGGAGATATAAACATGGTTTTCAAAACCGGATCGGAAAAACCGGGAATCGGTCAGGTGATTGATTCCATTTTATCCCAGAACCGTTATTTCCCCCCAAAACTGTTGATTTAGTCAATAAACCACTGATTTGGGCGGTCGAACCGTTCGAACCATCCAACGGTTTGGCCATTTTTTTATTATTTTTATTTTTTGTCAGAACGGACCATCCATTCGATCCAAATGATCAGACCATTCAACCCGGGAACTGGACCCCTAACCGGTTCATTGTCCAGTTCAGCTTTAAAAAACCTTGATATAAAGCCTTTTGGCTGAAACATTTTTTATTATTTTCTGCCCCTTTTACGGACAGAAAATAATTTTCCTTGATATAATTGGTAGATTAACACAGTTTTTACCACAAACTGAACTTTAATAAATTGGTAAGGTTAACAAATGTTTCATCCTGAAAATTTGTTGTGCCCATTATATATTATTACAAACTAAGCTTTAATAAATTATATAAACCTGTTTGGTTGGTAATTGGGCAGATGCTTTTGATAACTTACAAACTCTTAAATTTGTTTATGCATTTCTAATTAGTCTCACTATAAAATGTACAGAATTTCAAAGGACAAATTAATGGGTTCTCAGTTAACACAATTGATACAACTGGAGCTGGTGATGCTTTTGTGGGTGCATTTCTCTTCTTAGTTGCCAGAGACACTGCAATATTTGAGGTTTCTATGGATCTTCATTAATTTTTCTTGTTTTCATCTTTATTACATGATCATTTTCTACTACTAATAATAATAATCTTTCTTATATTACTTATTACATGTTGTTTATCTACTAATTCAGTAATTCTCATCATGTAAAAACTTAAAAAATAGGATGAAGAGAAGTTGAAGGAAGCTCTTCTTTTTGCAAATGCCCGTGGTGCGATTAGTACAACCCGGAAAGGAGCAATTCCAGCTCTTCCAAACACATCTGCTGCCCTCAAACTCATTGCGAGATCCAAGGCAAAAACCAAAGGAAATTTTACAGCGTTTATGGCATTTGCATGGTCCGTTGCTTTATTGGGAATCTTGTTAATGTTAATACAAAGGAAGAAAGTATTTATGACTTGATACTTATTATGTCATGGATTATTGTAATAAGGTGTGTGGGATTTTACAAAAGTGGTTGGATGTATGTGTCAAGGATTATTGTAATAAGGTTATGTGTGAGTTTTTTTACAAAAGTGGTTGGATGTGTCAAGGATTATTGTAATAAGTTGTGTGAGATTTTATCTCCATTTAAATTAGTTTTTATATACCCTGCTTAGAATAATGAAATGCAATTTCTCATTTTTCTCTTTCTCTAATTTGGTATCAAATAAGCAGGTTGATCAGACCTCACTAATCTCCTCCTCTAGTGATCCAGCTTCTTACGTGGATGGAAGGCATCTTGCCATTCATGAGTCTAGTTCTCTTTTATTTTATGATTTTAACATCATAGTTTTCAAAACCGGACCGGACGGTCGGACCAAAAAACCGGTAACCGTTCAGCCCTCCGGGTCCGATTATACTGTAAACCGCTAAATCTTAAAAAACCGTTGAAAATGTCAGAAAACCGCTGACCCGGGCGGTCAAACCGCTAAACCTTTCGACCCGGGAAGCGGTTCGTGGGTTACGAATCTCATTTTCACTGATTTAAAAAAATAATAAAACAGAAAAAGAAAAAAAAACACTCTTACAAATTAGGCCTTTAGGGTTAGAACGAAAGTTTCGTTCATTTTCGTTCTCACCCTTCCCTCCTCTTAGTCCTCATGCCCCGACTCACGACTTGCGACAGCCACGACTGACGGCGATTCACAGCGACCGGCGACGGCGGTGAATTTCACCTACGGCGGTTTGCATTTTGTAACCAGCAACAACCTCTATTTACCAAGGACTTGCAGCGGCGGCCGGCGATTTTACAGCGGCCAACCGCTGGCGGCTACGGTGGAGTCACTGGTTCTGGGTAAAAATCCACATGATTTGGCATAGCAACCGCCGGCAACTAACATTTGGCATAACATCTCCTTTGACCAAAGAAGAGAACAACGAAACCTACGTTTTCAACCGAAGATTTGTAGCGGTTGAAGGCAACAACCAAGATTTGCAGCGGCCAACTTCTGGTAAAAAGTAGCACACTTGCGTTTCCGAACAATCAACCGCCGGCGACCAAGATTTACAGCGGCAACCGGCGAACATAGTGGAAGGATTGCATCGGCCAGCTTGTATTGAAGCTTTCTTGCACTGACAACCACCTCTTGCTCCCAAATCTCTGCGCATTAGTCATTTCCCTTCCCCCCCTTTTTTTTTAATATTGGGGCTTTCTTGCACCGACAACCATCTCTTGCTCTGGCTAGCATGTATTGAGCGTCGGACACCTCTACAACAGCCATTAAAGCCAAGCTGCCTGCTGGACCTCCGCCGATAATGGATACTCTGAGGTTGCGACCGGAGTGTTTGGGGCTGGATTTGCTAGCTAAGATATGGAATCTGCGGGGATTTGGTTTGGATGAGAGATTTTGTTAGGGAGAGGGAATGGTGATTCTCGTGGTTTTCCGGAGGCCAACGAAGCTATTAACGGTAGCGCGTTGGAAATGGGTGATTTTTCGAACACAATTGGCGGTGTTGGTGGAAAATGGGGAGTTGATGGCAGTAGTGGACGCCATCCTTGCTGGCCTCTGGTGTGGTATCTGAAGTCTGAACAGAGTAAGTTCAGACTTATTTTTTAGATTTTTAATTTTTCTGTCAGAACGGGCCGACCGTTCAGTTCGAACGATTGGACCGTTCGACTCGATAACCGGACCCATGACCGGTTCGATCTCCGGTTCGATTGTCTTACTGTCGGTCGAAAGGAGGACGGTGCATCAAGTTGCTAGTTGTAACCAAGGTTCTAAATATTGATATACTCGATACGTCGAGTATTGGTCTTTATTTTACTATTTACCCTATTTATTTTTGTTCAATATGATAAGTATATAATATTAGAGACGTGACCAATTTTATTCTACAACTTTTTCTTTGCATTCTATCTATTTTTTATATCTTTATTATTTCATTATGGTATTCTAGGTTGAGGAGAAGTCCTCTTGGAGACGTTACAAGGGCCAGATATTGGCTTAATAAATATTTTGGACCGGATTGGTCCAATCTAATATGTCTTGTTGGTCCATCCAAATTGATTTTGGACTGTTCGGGATCCAATCCAAAACCGTTCCATTGACACCCTTACCTAGGACCACATCCTCTGCCCTCTAATGTCTTTTTGTACTTGCAGGTGGGACCCTCAGCCAATTCACCTTGAAATTTTCCAAATTACCCTTGAATCCATCCTTGGTAACACCAATTGGAACCATCTATGGAAATAAAAAACAACCAAGGGTAACAACTCAATGATGTATTGGGTCTTCTAGACTATGCCTTCAACTCAATGATGGTTCTCTAGCGCTCCCTAGGTCCATTCATTCTTGGGATCAATTTGTCGACCTCTTCCTTTCACATTGTTAGCAACATGCATTATTAGGAGACCTTAACAACCTTAGCTGCAATCTGGTAAAATCCAAATGAACCACTCTAGGATTACATCCAGCACTTCAACACCGAGGCCCTAGAGATTAAAATCCTCAACCAAGTCATTACTATCATAGTGGCCACAAATGGCTTGAGTTCATCAATCGTCTGCTTTTCTCTCACCAAGAAACCACCTTAGAACATGGTTGGTTCCTATCATTAGCTAAATACATAAATCCTGAAGAGGCCAAAGCTAGTAAATGCTTGATGAAAGATGACCAAACTAATAGGAAGAGGAAGGACAAAGACAAGTTGAGGCCTGGCAGCTCACAGAGTAGAAGGACAGGTCATCCAAGTATGCACCACCTTCATACAAGAACTATACACCTCTTAACACCTCCCAAAGCCATATCTTGATACAAAGCATGAAGCAATATTATGTGCAATGGCCTGCCAAGATGAAGAAAAATGCAAAGAAAGGAAATTAGGACAAGTATTATAAATACCACTGCATTGTTGGACATGACATGGATGAGTGTCATGAACTCAAATATGAGATAGAAACTCTCATTAGTAGGAAGGGGTACCTAAAGGACTTCGACTGAAAGATCAAGAAGTTGGGTCGGCCTCGAAACCGACCAACCCCAACCAAGCTAGGGTCATTAATGTCGTAGTAGATGGCTTAGAAGCAAGCAAAGAGAACTCTTCTTCTAGAAAATCCTATGCTCAACATCTACAAATAAGACATAGGCCATAGATAAAAGCTAAGTTAAAGGAAGTTATCACTTTTTTCAATGAAGACCTATAGGGGTCACCACACTCCATGGCAATGCATTGGTGGTCTCTTTGATGATCGCCAATTATGAGGTAAAGAGGATACTTGTAGATAACAATTCATTAGTTAGCATCGTCTTGTATGATGCCTTTAAGAGAATGCAGCTAGCCCCAAATCAACTCCAGCCCATTGGTATACCATTAATCGTTTCTCCGAGGCAACCATCAAACCAAAAGGTAAGATAACCCTTCCAGTCATTGTGGTACCTAAACCCTCAAGTCACTTAGATGACCAAGTTCTTAGTCATTAAGGTTGGATTGCCTTAATAATGCTCTCGCTAGTTGACCTACTTTGCACTCATTGAAGGCAATGGTATCTTTATACAACCTCGTTACTAAATTTCCAACCGACCATAGCATTAGAGCAGTGAAGGGCGATCAACACCTCACTTGCTAGTGTTACATGGAAGTTCTTAAAGGAAAAATGAAAGAGACCTTACTAGTAGAAGGGATTAACCCTAAAGATGAGCAAAAGACCATTTGAGGCCAAAAAGTAGAGGACCTCATTGCTATGCCCCTAAATGAAGCCAAGCCCGAGAAGGCAGTGTTAATCAAGTCCCTTCTCTTAGAAGATCTATGCTCTGAACTAATAAGTTTCCTCAAAGTCAATGCTAATGTATTTGGTTGGTCTATCATTGATATATCAAGAATTGATCCCTCGATCATGACTCACGAGATAAGCGTAGACCCAAGCTATAAGCCAATAGAAGAAGAGGAACTTTGAACTGGAGTGATGGGAAGTGATTAGTGAGGAGGTGGACAAATTTCTTAAAGCTAACTTCATTTGAAAGGATTGATTGCCTCATCAACACCACCTTAGGATATGAATTCCTTATCTTCATGGACACCTCTAATTACAATTAGATCAGAATGCACTTGAATGATGAAGAACAAACTACCTTGATCATAGAGATCATCAAGTATTATTACAAAATTATATAGTTCAAGTTAAAGAATGTAGGGGCAACCTATCAAAGGATAGTTAATAATGTTTTAAAGGATTAGATAAACCACAATGTCGAAGAATATGTGGATGACATGGTCATGAAGACCCTCTAAGCCAACCAACATATTACTGACATCGATGAAGTCTTGTGTCCTAAGAAGGTATCAGATGAGATTAATCTATCCAAGTGTGTCTTTGGTGTGACATCGAGTAAATTTCTTGGTATTATTATGACATGGTGATGCATCAAGGCAAACACCAAAAAGATCCAATCTGTCCTTGAAATATAACTTCCGAGGTTAGCCAAGAAAGTGTAGAAACTCACAAGTCGAATAGAAACTCTTAGCAAGTTCATGTCTTAGTCAATGATAGTGCCTATCCTTCTTTCGGGTGACCAAGAAATTGAAAAACTTTCAATGGGTGGAAGATTTCCGAAGGGCCTTTAATGAATTGAAAACAAAGATAACTTCTTGCAATTGTCGAGTAAGTTGAACCTAGAAAAAGAGTTATACCTATATCTCTTGGATAGGAGATTAGGTAGTCAGTAATCCTAGTCCAAGAAAACACAAGGGAAAAAACTAGTGTATTATGCTAGCAAGGTCATGAATGACCCCAAGGTAAGGTACTCTAACATAGAGAAGATAGTGTTTCCAAGCCCATACCATAGTTTTCCTAACCAACCCTTAAAGGAGATTCTTTAAAGGCTTGAGGATTAGGGTTGATTGATGAATTGGGCCATTAAGCCAAGAGAGTTTGATATTATATACAAGTTGAGGCTAACCATTAAAGCTCAGGCACTTTCATCATCAAGTGTAGTGCAGTGCAACCAAAAGAACTCTTACCTACTTGGATTCTGCATATAGATGGGCCCTTTAATCTTAAGGAGAGTGGAGTTAGACTCATCATTTTGTGCCCAAACAACACATTAGAGTATGCACTTTGGTTTGGATTTCTAGCATCTAATCACAAGACGAATATGATGCATTTTTAATGAGCTTTTCTTTAGTTGAATTGGGGATAGAT